AGTTATTTTAGCCGGGCCGGCTAAAATGATTGGTCGTGTCAAAAGCACTTAAGATATTCATTGCTATCGGGATGTTAAGAGCATTCCATGGAATATAACAAAAAGTGTATCTCGAGCCGGTTTCTTAAACTTACCTACCCCACCTTTAAGCCAACAAAATAAACAAAATAACAAAACCTGACAGGAATGAAAAAGCAATCCTTTCTGAGCTGAGGCTTGGCACGACCATTCGGGGAAACAAACAAGGCAAACTGACACAGGACAGGGGAGAGACAGGACTATTTCAACATGAGGTGAGTGGGAACAGGTGGAAACAATCAGGCGTGGGGCAGACACTGATAATGGCGGGAAAAACACACAGGGGGAGGAAGAAAACAGGGCCTGAAATGAAAGACAAGAGGTAAATACAAAATAAAACAGGAAACACAGTTGATGAGACACAACAATACTTTGATTGAAAAATATTGAAATACGGTATTGTCTTGAATCTTTGGAGAATAATAAAGTGTGTGTGTAGAGAGGAATATACACTTAAAAAGCACATGTATTATTTGTGTTTCTGCTAGTCACATTTGTTGCTAAATATTAAGATGTATAGTCATTTATTCCGTCTACTCCACAGATCTCATAATTTAATAAAAATAAATAGATCCGATATTACAGGTAGAGAAACACTGTCTGTATCGAGCGCTGCCTCTATATGTGTCCCGTCATACCGCCACAGTGACAGCACTGAAAGAGAAGTGTGTGTTTCAGCATGTTGCATTGATACAGACAGTAGTGCATACCTATGCATATCCCCCGTTCTAGAGCACACCATTTATAAACAAACAAAAAAAAAGAAACATGGGTCACCACCCCTTTTCCGAGGCCCCACAAACCGAACACAGACACACACTCAAATGTACAAGTGCATCCCACACAGCTAGGGTGATTGCTGCAAAGGATTTTGCTTTAATCGACAGAAAAACCAGGGGACAACCTTTTGGTTGTAGTATTGTCTGTGACTCCCACTCTTTCCCCAAAAGTGAGCAGCATCTCTCTCTCTCTTTTCCCCTCCACCCGCTTCTATCTTTACCTGGTGGGCAGTAGAGAGGTTGTATTTCCAGAAACAAGGTAAGGGATCAAATATCAGGGTGCTTTTTGTGTGTGCATCCCAGCAATACATTTTGATTGGACAGAGGCTGGCAGAATCAGATAAAACCTCATTACAGCCGAACAAACACTGAGGATTGGGAAGGGGAACAACAAACTGCAACATCAAAGCTATTCCTCTAATCAGTTCAACTAGTAGTGATGGTTCCACTAAAGCAGAGGTAAATATGGTTGAGTAAAAGTTTGGTACAATAGTTATAAGGTATTTTCGGGCAACTATAAGTGTGCTTGTGGATTTTTCATTTATGAAGTAATATTTTCAATTTGGATGTTTGCTTCATATTTCTGTGATTGTCCTAATGGGTATGGATATATGATTGATTGGCATCAAGTGTGCTATCCAGGCAGAGCTTCAAAGGCATGATCAAGTTCAATTTGATTTCACATCCCTTTTTTTATTGGATCATTTGTTTCGTTTTTGGAGAATTTATATGAAGATGCTGAGTGCCAATGCATTTTTTACCATGATGTCAGGAACATATTTTTATTCATAGTGTGCTTTTTGAGCGTTGTATAATCAGCCTTTGGGGTGGCAGGTCTTGTATGTTGACAAACAAATTATCCTTGTCTTCAGTGCAAAATGTCGTAATTAGATTTGAAACATTGAAACGATGTGGGTGAACATTTGTGTGCAGTACATGATTTTTATACAATATCCTTAACTTCCATAATTTTCCTTCCTATGTTGCAGTTGCTCTGCAGCGGGGCCGTTATCTCAGCTCAAGATGTACAGCTTTATGGGAGGGGGCCTTTTCTGTGCCATAGTTGGTAATATCCTGTTGGTGGTCTCCACTGCAACGGACTACTGGATGCAGTACCGTCTCTCTGGAAACTATGCCCATCAGGGCCTGTGGAGGTACTGCATCTCCAACAAGTGCTACATGCAGACTGACAGCATAGGTAAGGACGCGTAGGGTGTCAAACCCTGATAAGATAACTATCAGGAATTTGTGTTGGGTTGCTCTGTTTCCACGCAGGTTTTGATATAGGTGTGTCTGGATAGTGATCTCTGAGCCTAAACCCCTTGCGAATCATTTTAATTTAAGTTCCTGTATGCACCAGATTAGGCTTGTTATATGCTTATACGTGTTTATTTTGTTGTATAAGAAACACACTTCTGTTTTCCATATACAGCCTCATTATGTGCGTCTGATATTTGGGTTTGAGTTTGTTGAGTATGAAAAGAACAAGATTATTTCTCAGAATAATTAAAGCCAAACGGTTGAATAGCTTTATTAAGTTGCCCAATGATGAAGTGGTTAGAGCATGCCTGAGCTAAAAACCAAAATCATAATGGGAAGAATTTAAAGTTCCTTTCACAGAACAATACATGGAGGTAATTAAGTGAACATTAAAGTGAAAAGAAAAGAAAAAAACAACTCAATAATTGTAGTTCTATTCAGAGGAAGTGAAAATGCATGTCAGTAATTAAGGAAGAGACTGAGATTTTTCTGAAGGGGGTTTGAAAGAGACAGGTGCTAAATGTCATTGATGAAATGTAACAAATTAAATGTATTTAAGTATTGTAATGATTATTTTGACCTTGTTTTGCTTTACTAAAGTATTTCCATTTTATACTACATATAATTCTACTCCACTCGGCTAATTTGAACATGTAATGTATATAATTATATCCTTATAAGACGTAAAGCGGTTCTGTACCGATATATTAAAAAGTATCTAAAATTAGCTCATTTTTGACAAACATAAACGTAAAAAATAATATGACTATGTAGTTGTTATTGATCAAAACGGGATAAAATACTATTCTATGATACAAAAAATCTGTGAAAAGAGTCATTCTGCATATTGAGTACCTTAACTTTAGATATTTGAAGTAGAGTATGCTGATAATGCTTCTGTACTTATACTTAAGTAGCATGATCAATTCATGACTTTTACTTGTAATGGGGTATTTTAAGACCATCGTATTTTACTTTTACCTAAGTAAAGGGTCTGAGTACTTATTCGAACTCTGCTTTAATGCAACGTTACAGACAGAGGGTAAATACAGTTCTTTCCAGACAGACAATATTTCGATAATAATCTTTCTTTTTTTTCACATTAAAGCATGTAAACACTTTCTAGTAGATGACCAAATTGAATGTATGAACCTAAATAAAAGCATGTCTCCTTAAAAGGTATTTACATGTTTGTAAAGCTATTTATAATGATGCTCTGCTGATTTCTACCTGTTTCTTTCCAGCTTACTGGAATGCAACCCGGGCCTTCATGATCCTTTCAGGGATGTCGTGCTTTGCCGGCATCATAGCTGGCATCATGTCTTTTGCTCACTTCTCCTCTTTTGAAAGGTTCAACCGCTCCTTTGCTGCAGGAATCATGTTTTTCATCTCCAGTGAGTCTGGTTTCTTCTAAATGAACACACAAACCATAAATGAAACATCAATCCTTACTGAAATGTACATCCCTCTCCCCACAGCTTTCTTTGTTCTGCTTGGTATGGCCATTTACACTGGAGTGACAATCAACTTCCTCGGGAGACGCTTTGGGGATTGGCGCTTCTCCTGGTCCTACATCCTGGGCTGGGTGGCCATGCTCATGAACTTCTTTGCAGGTAAGAAAGGACAAGGCTTTGTCCAGAGATAAAGGCCAATATTGAAGAAAATGACCTTTTTGTAATGTATTTTGACACTATATTTAGTCTGATTGACATAGTATGAGTCAAATCTTAAAATATATTTGTACATAGTTCTAATGAGATTTCAAGCAGAAAAATCATCAGTGTGATCACACAAAAACTGACCTACATTGACTCAAATGTATTCACAACCAGATTCATTTATTAGACCTACTGAATGTGAGGTTTTGATCATAAATACTCTAAAATGTAAATCACTATCACACTCCTAGGCTCATGTCACGTTGGTAGTTTTGTATGTTTAGGTTATGTCACGTTCCATGTCTAGGTTTGGGTGTTTTGCTGTTTTCCCTGTCATGTTTTCCTCCTGTTTATTGTCTGGTCCTTTTCCCTGGGTTTTTTCTCCTGTCGTTAGTTTCCCTGGTTTGTCTAATTGTCTGATTATGTTCACCTGTGGCCCCTGTGTTTCCTCCTCCCTCCTCACCTGTGTCTTGTTGTGTGATTAGTCTTTTGTGTATTTAAGTTCTGGGTTTTCTGTCGGTCTTTGTCAGTTCGTCTTTTGCCTTGACTAGTTCTGCGGTGAGTGTTCTGTTTTGTCTTTGCTTATATCATAGCCTTGAAATAAAGGAGTTTTTTCAGTTTATATCTGCATTTGGGTCCTGCTTCCTTCACAATCCGTAACAGAACGAACCGACCAAAGAATGGACCCAGCGGATTTTCGTGAGTTTGAGATGGATCTGTTTGATCTAGACTTTTCTCTACAATGTTCTCATGCCGAGTGGAAAGGAACTTCTTCCAGCAAGGACAAAGAGGCTATTCTCGAGAGGGCACGAATGGAAGTGGCCGAAATGCCTTGGTTGAGGAGTTTGTTGCCGGAGTGGTTACAGCTCTTCACAAGTTGTCCTGAGGACTGGTCCGATGCTTCTAACCCTTTCCTCGGATCCGACTACGGTCCTGTTGGAGGTCCACGGAGTCTCCAAAGAGCCTCTAGGAGACGCAGGGCCAGGACTCCAGCCCGTGCTCCAACAGCCATGATCCCGGTGTGGGATTTCCAACCTGGCACCATATACCTCGGTGGGATCCGTCTGAAGACAACCCATGCTTCTGCCCCAGTTCCTGCTCCTGTCCAGGAGTCGTATGCTGGAACTCGTCTGGCTTATGGAGGTCCACGGAGCCTTCAGGCGACTGCTAAGAGAAGGAGTCGCAAAGCCAAACTAGCAGCCCGAGCCCCAAGAGTCATGGCTCCTGCCCCAGTACAGGCCCCAGCAGCCATGCCTCCATGCTCCAGTACCGGCCCACGCAGCTTTGCTTCCATACTCCATTACCTCTCTTACACAGCCGGGGTCCAGGCTTCCGCTCCGCGCCCAACAGCCATGGTTCCGGCTCCAGTGCCGGACCCAGCAGCCATGTTTCCGGCTCCAGAACCGGACCTTACAGCCATGTTTCCGGCTCCAGAACCGGACCTTACAGCCATGGTCCCGGCTTCAGTGCCGGCTCCAGTAACCGTGTCCCGACTCCGGCTCCTCGTCACCTGTTGACTCATCGGCCGACGCCAGCTCCTCGAGTCCTGTCGGCGTACCGGCCGACTCCAGCCCCTCGTCTTCTGCTGGCTCTCCAACCGACGCCAGATCCCCGAGTCCTGTCGGCATACCGGCCGACTCCAGCATCTTGTCTCCTGCTGGCTCTCCAGCCAACGCCAGCTCCCCGAGTCCTGTCGGCATACCG